CCCCCCCCCCCCCCCCGGTCAACTTGGTAGCGAGCAATAGAGAGTTAATTTGTTTTGATGTTACTTGCCATTTGGTGTATGCTTTCAGGTTTATAGGCTTTGGCATATTACAGAGCTGCTAGGACAGATCCTTTGGGATTGGGACTTGGAGCTAGAGGAACAGTCGCTCAGGAACAGTCGCTCAGGAACAGCCGTGCACAGTCGCGTGTTGTTGCCGTGTTTTTGTAGTTACCACAATAAAAGCGCTAGCTGCAGTCAGCTATTTCCTATATTACAGTGTTGAGTTGTAATTGATAAATGATTTATGTTCGTTTGAACTGGTGAATTAGAACATAAAAATACCATTATCAACCATGTTTGCTTGTGAAGCATGCTTTGTCTTATGTACCTTTGAATCAAATTAAGTATGAAGAAAGAAAGTAGCTACACATTTACTTGTATGCAGGAGGCTGATGAGAAATGTCTGTGGGCATTTGGTATTCAAATTTTAAAGATCTAATCCTCTTTAACAATTAATTATTTTTTCAACTTAAGTTGTTTCAGAACTTCTTCTTGACTAGAAAGTGAAATTTGATATATTAGAAGGTTGCTGTCCCACTATTAGTCTAGTCACCCTATGATAAAAATCAAACTAATTGCAACATAACTTATTTCTGGTTTTTCATACAGGTTGGTTTATACTGTGTAACAGAAAAAAAATCTACAAAAATCGACTGTTGGGAAAATGTTTTCTTTCGCCCGAAATAGGATCAAGAAAATAAGAATAATTGCTTACTGGACCAACATTGAAGTGTAAATATCAACCTCTTGTGTAACACTGAATAGGAGGAATTAACTGTATTTAAAGACCATTCAGTGTACAATACAAATTAGCCAAACAAATAAATAGGAACCATCACATTGAAAAAATATCACACCATGAAAATTGCTAAAAGCATTCAAATGTTGAACATATTAGCTTTTGTTGCATCAACATCAATATCGATACTGGCTTTGTAGAAATGCATTGACAACTTATTTGTGTATTAAAGTTTCATAAATTAGAAGTTTTTCATTTACATATTAGAATTTATGAATGTTTAAAGTTGGTCTGCGGGGCTGTTGGGAGCTGTTTTAAAGTCCAAATTGAACAACATTTCAATTTATACATGTAAGATTTTAACATCATCTTCAGCAAAATACTGCAAAGTGCTCTAAATCATTTTCTATGCAAGTTACTCTTAGCATTAATGCCATCTTGGTTAAGATATCTCCAAATAATGAATGAAGTCAGGTTGATGAATACTTCACCTCGTGCAAATTTGACTAAACTGTTCAAAATGGCAAAGTCCATGATTTTGGACAACAGAACTGTGAATATTTTTTGTGTGTTTTATCTGATTGCTTAATCTTTTGGCAGGAATTACCACCATAACATGGTCCTCTTGATTAAGGGGAAGTTAGGTTAAATTTTTGTCTTAGTATTTTAACAGATCATTTTTTTCTTTCACACAATAGCACAGAATGGGGGGATACGTAATTTTCAATAAAATGATGAAGTTGTATGAATGTTTAACTTAAAATTTATCTCACAAAAACATCTGTTTTATCATTGTTTTACTGGCAAAATCATTTGTAAATCGGACAAAATTGGTCCACAAAATATAGATTTTCATTGTTAAGAATCATGGACTTTTTTCAGTGTTGAGGCAAAATTGCATGAGATGAAGTTTTCACCATCAGAGCTTGGACACATTTGTACACTTATCTTACCAAAATAACCATTTCCAATAAGCTCTGCACACATACAAACAGATATAAAATGCTTGTAAGCATTTGCTTGTCCTTTTTCAAATTACATGTTACAGAAATAGGTAAATTGTTTATTTTGGACATAAGTTAACACCAAATCGGCACATTAGGTCAAATTAGATGGTTGATATTTTTTTTGAATGTGAATGTACCATTTTTCGTGCATTAATATTAGATAAAATGTGATGTTTTAAGAAGCTAGAAATAGACTCATAAGGTCACTGAGATTAAGTAATTAGTATTTTCTGCATTTAAATGGAAAACAAAAGCCAATATTGTCAAGCTCAAAATGCTTTTAAGCCATTTTCATAGTTCAATAATTTTTCAATGCAATATCTCTGCTGTAACATTTTGGTAAATCTGTACTATATTTCAGTTGGTCTTGCTATACGGTTAATCTTATATATCCAGTATTGTAAAAGAGGTAGATATTACACTTCAAAAGTTGTCAGATATGTGATTTTCCTTATTTTCTTGATCCTATAGAAGGTCAAAACAATATTTAACCAAAGGATTCCAGGAGACTTTTTTCCTGTTATAATTCTGATAATCAACATTCCAAAAAACAATAAATAAATTCTGTTGCAATTAGTTTGAGGTTTGGGCTGGTTTAGCATAGGGTGACTAGACTATAAATGCTGAGAAGCAAAGACCAAAATGGGGAATGTGTATTAGACTATTTATGACATGGATTTTAGTCGAGAGCGCTGAAGTATGTCAATTTCAACAAAAAAACATTTTTTCTTGAGGTCTTTCTTTTTTAGTTGAAAATGACTGAAGTTTTTTATATATAAATAAATAGAGTGTCATTTAAAAATGTAGCATGGTTAGGCATACTTGGGGTAGATATTTGGTTAAACATTAATACTGTACATGTATATTTAGGTACATGTATAGTATATGTTATTAATGTTTCAATTTATAAATACTTTTTTTCTGAACACATGATGTAGGAATTTTTCAGTTTTTTAACATTGTTTATACTTGACTCTACTAAATTAAATACACAAGGTTTACAAAAATAGTAATTTTCATCTTGCAAATCACAACCTTTAACAAGAGGCCCATGGGCCTTAACGGTCACCTGATATATTTATACAGAGAGTTGATTTTGTTTTTAACATGAACAGAAATATTATTCAAGGTGACAAAAAACAATAAAACCACCTTATTCAATATCTAGCATACAGATTTCAGNGAGAAGAAGATTTTTGAAATTTTAGTCAATTTGACCCTTTTTGGCCCCGCCCCTCAGGCCCCTGGGGGCTATGGACTAAACCGGCTACTATTTGTGTTGACCTTTGTCCATGGAAGGTCCCTGCAAAATTTCATTGAAATTGGTTCAGGGGTTTTGGAGAAGAAGATTTTTGAAATTTTAGTCAATTTGACCCTTTTTGGCCCCGCCCCTCAGGCCCCTGGGGGCTT